TACATTTATCCAGATGCAGGAGCAATGAAGTCAGTTGTAGATAAAAATATTTTGCGAGTCCTTTAAGGAATCTTTAAAAGTTTTACTTTAAAACGAAAATAATTTGTTTTATACGACCAACACCATTTAAATAATAATATAATATAATGCAAATTATATTATATAAAAATAATATAATTATAAGTAATTATGATCATAGTTATAATGCAAACAATTAGTTCTGTGATGGAAAAATCCTTCATTTTCTAAATAACGTAACACAACTATTAAAATTGTATTTGTACTAAGAACAATACATTATTTTTCATATTTATGTACATTGTGTCTTCATCTCAAGTTATTTTATTTAGTAGTAACGATATTCCTGGTAACATTGACATTTAGTTTGCAACGTTATTAAATACCACTGGTAAAATAAACAATAAAACAATTGAGATGGTGATTAATGTGATAAAGTAGCAAATGCATGTAATATCAGGCCACGTGGAAGTTCGTTGACAGAAATTACAATATTTTGATCGTATCTGTTTCCTGGCAGTTGTTTCTTCCCAATAAACCATGAGAATTTTTCTCAGCATTACTCATTGTTCGTTTCGCAAATACTCTATGAATGAGAAGGTACAAGATAAGAAGCAATATTAATGACAGAGTACATCTTCATTTTAGAAGGAATTGAAAAGTTTTCGAGTAGTCCTTTCGTATTTTATTATTTACTGTTTCTAATATTAAGTATTCATTTCTATTTACCTCTCAAAAATTGAAGAGCTGAATCAAAGTAACAAGATATTGCCGAAGAATTAGATAGAAGGAAAGGAATTGCTTAAACAAAAATTGTTTCAAGTACGTTCAAACTATATAACTACGTAAATAAAAATTACAAATAAAAAAGTTAACTATGTTCTGAATATTTCCCCGCATACATCTACCGCGCTTGGATCAAGTAAACAAAAATATGTAAACACACACATAGCTTCTAAAGAAAAACACAATAATAGATTTTTATTAACATGAAACAAGATGATACTTACAGAAATTTACAGCTCTTTCACAAAAACAACAAAATTGTGTGCTGATAATGTACGAAGATGAAAGCCGAATGCAACCAGATTCGTCAACTTACAAATATAAGAAACAATTGAATATAATATTTAGAAGGATACCTGTTAGAAATAACTATGTTTTCTAATGAAAATGTGTAAACGTTGATGTCACTATATTTTCTGCTATTATTTTTCTGTTATTTCGAAAAGATAATACGTGTATGGATTTTTGTAGAGACGACTCTGCAGTTTACTTAAAAGAAAGAGAATTCATGTAAATATAAATATGGGTCTGCTTATCCACAATGAAAGCCTTCATGGGCACACGTACATACAACATACGTTAATCGTGACCCATTTAAATGGCGTTCGTTTACGTAAAATCTATCGCTCAGTAATAATATTAAAAGAGCGTCATTTTTATTATAAATTGAATATTAAGATTTGAATTTGTAAATTATTTAAATCTTAATATTCAATTTACAATAAGAATAGCACTCTTCTAATATTAATACTGAGCGGTATTACTGAGCGAATTTGAATTTGCAAATTATTTAAATTGTTAATTTGCGTTGTACGATTAACTGTAAAATATTTGTGATAATTGAACACACGCGTATTTAAATAATGTATTAAATAATATACTGCTTCTTTTTCATAAAATTAATTAATTGTCGAAACATCATTGCGATGCAAGAAGTTGGCTGAAAAATTAAGTAATCACAAAATCATTCGATAGTGCGAGTGTTACAGTTTCATTGTTAGGGGCCTTGCGTTGAATACATAAAGGTAACGCACACGATCGCATTCATTCAGAGTGTACGGTATTCTCGGCTCGTAAAAGTGAAAGCGATGTAAACCAAGGAGAAAATATGATCGTGAAACTCGACCGACAGATCGCTGTAAGAGAATAAATTGGGCTTTCTTATATGTGATTCTGATAATACTTGTCAACTTTCATCGTTCGGAAGTTTTCGAATGGAACGAACAGAAATTCTTGTATTATAACGTCAGCGTTCCTAACACCGTGTGATCGTGTCTATTTCGGCTTAGTGATGTATATTTAACGGCTGATGTATCGCGAAGTAATTAAAAGGGGTTAGCACTTCCATTGACATAATTTTTATACAAATGTCACGCTGTTTTAATGGTACCTTATCAGTGACTTTTTAAATATCTTGAAAAACGAAACAGTCATGTGTTTTTAGTTGGTGTATATACATTTTTAGTTGCACCTGCAAATTCACTCCTTCGTTTTTATTGCTGTATTAAACAAAAGTATCATACATGGAATTTGAGAGGCAATAGAAAAACTAAAATACGGAAATATGAACATTTCATAGAAATATGAAAATAAATTTATTCTTTTGAAATTATAATTTTAAAAAGGAATCATAAACTGTACTCATGAAAATTGTTATTTGGAAGTTATTGATTATTAACCACCGTTTATCTTTTCACGTTGTGAAACATATATTTACATTAATAAATTTTGTATTTTTTACAAGTCTACTGGCTTGAATAATCGGAATTAATACATTTTGAATGGTTTCTTTTTCGTTTTTATAGCATTCTTGTATATGCCTGTTTCTTGTTCGTTCCAAAAAATATGTATAAGTACAATGACCCACGTATAACATGCAAGAATCTCGTATTTCTATTATTCATTACTTTTTTCTGATATTACATTCAAGTATGCATTTTTTACAGAAAATAAATCGAAACACTAAGCCATTGCGTCCATTGTAAAGAATACGTATATAATCAAGGGTTTTCTCAGTTAATCCGTAATATTATTGAAACCTGTATACATAATAACAAAAAAAATATTAAAGTAACAATTTAAAATTAAAATTAATGTATAGCAAGTAATCGTTTATAAAGGAAGGTTTCTTAATATAGAATATAAAAATTTTTAAAAATAATAATAATAATTAAAAAAAAATTATTTTTAGATACATAGTTAAAGTATACTTTCTGTAAATAAAGTAAAATTGCATTAAATTAGAGTTGATTTAATCGATTAAACCAGATTGACAGTTGATTTCCGCGCGTAGAGTTGATGTAACTAATCATATGGTAACTACATATTTTTATCAAAATATAACCCGAAATTTTTCATCAAATTAATTATGGAATTTCATTGAATACCTTTAATAATAATTTTATTACTAAAAATTAATTAAAATTGGGGATAACAATAAATTAATTGATAATTTTATTTGTGAAAAAAATCGTGACAAGCACAACGGTTATGATATAAAATACAAAATATTATAATCAACACTTTATTGCATATAGAGGTAAATGAAAGAAAACAAAAGAAAGCAATTTGTTAGTTTGTAAAGATCTTCAATACAATTGAACCTATTATGAGTTATAAACACAATTATTGAGAGATTAACACACAGTTGAGGAATATAGTTGTAATTTTTAGTAGAATTAAAAAAATTGTTAACAAAAGGTACGATAGAATCAACATAATATTGGCTACGTTAATTCTGTTTGAAATTTCTTGGTGAACACTTCAATCGACAAACCAGAATACACAGAACTCCCAGTCATATGATATAATTTGTACATTGGAAGAGGAACAGGAAAAACAATATTCTTCGTAATTATCAATGTTAAGCTCCGTAATATCATAAATTCTAATAAAATTTAACTCTATCTAAAATTCGAATGAAAATGAATTTATAAACTTGGAGAAAGTATTATCTAGTCCATACATAATTTGCGGGATTATGAAACTGTTAATTAAGTAATTAGTTCATAATAATTATTTAGTAAACAATAATAACTGGGATACAGAACTTTATTTATTTATAACACATTACGCTTTTTCAAGACCTTTTTATTCAATTACAAATCCAGTTTACTTCTAATTTATAGAAACAACTGATTAAGAAAGAGTATTCCATTCCATTTAATTTACTGAAGCTTGCTCGGAAATAATAAGTTTCTATAAACTTCCGCATTCTAATAAAAACTAATACTATTGTTGTTGTGATTGGTTTCAAAATTGATGCACTGAAACTAATCATAATTATAACTTCAAATTTAATATAGTACAATTTGTAGCATTCTTAAGTATTAAAATTCACTTGTTTTCACTATAACAATCTTTCTACATTTTGCCATAAAAGATGTATAATTTGACTGCAACATTTATGGCTCCTAACGGACAAATACTTTGTCACCCACATATGACTGATATGCTAGTTAAGGTGTCGCAATCATGAAGCAATAAATTTGAGTATGATGTAAACTATCCCATTTACACTAAAGGTACCAAGCAGTTATATTGACTTTTTGAAATTCCTCTATGGAAACTCGAGGAGTGCATCTATTCAGACTTTAATTGACTTTCAATTCAGTTTGCACATTACTGCGTCAATCTCTAATAATTTCCTAGAGAAACATCTGTTATCTTTTTTATAATTGCAAAAAGTAGTTTTAATGTTAACACTAAAGCAAGTAGAGTGACTTATTTCGAATGTTTTCTAAAAATTAAAGCAATAGGTTTCTCGAGATTCGAAGGATCTCCTAGTCCTGTATCTGCACAGATACAGAAATTAAATGAAAAATGTTTCACGAAAACGCTATCTTCATTGAAATACTTGGGAAATACAAATTCTGAAATGGATCAGTTTAACCCGTCCAGTAGTTTTAGTGTTAAACTATCGGACGGTGACTCATTTTATGCCGTGCCAGTCCTGCAATATATATATATATAGGCTCGGTCATTGTGATGCAGGAAGGTAATAGTGATTAAAGATTGAGCACTATAGGCATGCATAACTATAAGCTTCTTTGAGGCAACCTTAAATGTAGAGTGATCATCTGTAATGGTAGACATAGGTGTGGTTTTACTGGACAGGAAAAACGGTGCAGGCACCTTAACGAGGTAGGGATACATCTGCGAGGAAGGAGCTCAGATCTATAGAATGGTTGACGATACTCTGAAAACACAAAGCATCCACCGAGACTCAGTTCCCGCACCGCGTCGTTTGCGTTCGCTTCGCTGATACTCGAGCTGGTTATACACTGTGGTACCGCAGTCTTCTTTCTTTCCTAGTTTTTATCCTTATCAAAATTTCTATACATGAATAATATTGAGCACAATCGATTTCACATCGAACTGGAGAAATTCTACTAATCTTATACGTTTAACATATATTTGAAACAATTCTTTATCAATCTGTAACATCGCCGCTGGACAATTTGAAAGATGCAGTGACTTCGAAATAAATAATGTGTTTCCTAAATGAACCAATGTTTGATTGAAAAGATTATTATTTCATAACAATAAAACGATGCTTAATTGTAATTCAAAGTGAAAGTCGTGATTGTAATGCTATTAATTCCGTAGAAAATGAAATGAAGACATTATTACTAATAATGTGAATGTAAGGTTTACTTTTAATTGGAATTAACCACAGTGGAGATACTTTATTTTTAGAACGGAATAATAGTTTTCATAGAATATCTATTTATTTATAATGGACTGATAAAAATGTAAGTAGTGAAAGATGATAGAAACTTTCATGCGGCAATGAGCATTCAAGTATGAAGTGTTTTAATAGCTTCGTGGAAATTAATTTAATCGCTCTAATTTAAATAAGGCGCATTCTGATATTCCAATATTCACCGACATGTGTTTTATTTTTTTCGGAAACATCGTCTTAGACAGTGATAAGGAAGCAAAGAAAGAAAGAAGAATGATGATATAGTTCTAATACATTTCAATCGATACTGTAACGACTATGTTCCTGTGGACGCTGATTAGCTTGAATTTTTTAACGGTAGGTTTTGTTAATTACATTTTACACCTATTCGGGTAACGTTATTTATTGTATACGTACGAATTCGAATATTTAATGTATTCTATTTCAGTCAATATTTTAGTAATGATGAGTTTACTCATTAAATTCTGTTCAACTTATAAAAGTTCACAACTATAACACATACAACGACTCATTTTGTAAATATATTTAAACAAATTAATTGAAATTATTCTGCTGGCGACTTTAACTATTATTTTTTTTTGTTTGGAATAAAAAGGTTTAATGTATTCATTTAACATTCTGTTATTCGATGGTACGTCGGCTTTCTGATTGCTGTGTTCTTGACACAACTATTTTTAACTAGAATTTTTAGAATTAGTGTACATTTTTTATTATAACTAAGACACAATGAGAACATAATTACAGCAAAATTTATAAGAAGCGATGATTTATTAATTTAAATTTTAGTAGCATTTCGTGTACGCAATAACGTTTGAAATTATTTTTTCTGTAAATACTAAAGTATCATTCTCAATAAAGATCTATAACCTTTGAAACTAACGATAAAAATATACTTAAGTCTCCATATAAATTACAAATCAATTTAATGTATAAAGTTACAACTTTATAAGTTATTCCAGTACACTTCCTATAATTTACATTTTCCGTAATGAAAACTATCTAACTATTCTATCCACTATTGAATATATATTTCTCAAATGCTATATTATTTTTAACCTTTTTTACACGTAATAAAACATTTTTTTATACAATTTCTAATTACACAGTATACAATTAATTTTTTAGTATAATTACAGTGTAAAAGTAGTTATGGATTTCGACACATGCATTAAGAAAATTTTCTTATTCTTACGTATAAGTAGTGCTAGAAATGAAATATTAATCTCATAATTATTTGAAGATTAAATATCAATAATAATACACAATATATGCAATAATACACTAATAATAATATGTACAATACTACCAAAAATAATAATATATACACAGTAATACACTGTTGTATATTGAAATAATTAATATTCGAGAAGCATTAAAATCTCAGGGCCACTGTACTCACTTCAGGTTTGAAAAAGATTCAGTGTAGGTGTTCATGATGCGTGAAAAACGGGTGAAAGAATTGTATGAGAGTATTTTCCTCTCGCCATTTAAATTCATCTCTAGAATATAAGTCATTATCATGCTCTCTCCTGTAATAGAAGACACTCGTTCGTAGTATTATAATGGTAGATTTTCATAATAACGATCACGAACACAAACACGTACGAATGAAATCTCCGTGTACTGAAACATACGATGCAGTGACCTTAATCCGCGAAGTTTTAATTAAAAGGAACTCCGACGACTAGAAATACTATACATTCTAAGGTTCCAGCTTCAATTATTTCGAGGATAAGCAGTTGCATAAAAATCTTACAAAAAGTTATACACTTTTTGCAGAATATTACAGAAAGGTAAAGCATCCGTGGCGATATCTACTTGGATGAAATGAACATAAAAGTAATATTACAGAGGATAATAATGATAGAGAAACGGAGAATTGGATAGTTGAAAATTTCTAATTAAAGATAACAAGAAATTTATTAGGTTGGATGAAACGTATTTTCCTTTTCCATTTCTCCTTTTAATGATGATTGTTTTAGTAATCGCTTGAAACACAAGGAGAACAAAAAACTTTCATAGAAACACGTTCGCAGAATACCAAAAAACGATTTTTCATTTTTGTGAACGTATAAGTATTTCGAAATAGGAAGAATGTAATGAATCAGGTATTACTAATTTAAATAAACCATAAATTTGATGTACTTGCATATTATTCTCCAGTATGTAAAATTCAATGAAATACAAAATTTGGTAAATAAAAATAATTTTATGGTTTCTGTTACGTTGATACTTGTATAAATTATATTTTACAAACAAGTATCTACATAATTATAATATAATGTCACATACAGCTAGCTCAAAGGAAATTGTTTTAATTTTTTATTCCTTAAAATAACTGCAGCATACGTTATAATCTCATTCCGCTTAAAAATGTTATCAATAATGTGTTCATTAGAAATTGAATAAGAGAAAATTTATTTAAAAAATGTTCTGCATAGAAATAAAATTATTATTATTCTTACTCTACTCTTATTCTTATACTCATTAACAGTAATTTCAAATACGTGTAGAGGCATGGCAATTAGTCTTTGTTATGCGTCATTTTGCATTTAAACAAAGTCACAATGGGAGTATTTACCACTTCAAGAATTGCCACACTATGGTATCATCAATAAACTATGTATGTAGCTCGCTCTACTATTTTTCGTTCCAATTCTAAGGGAAGATGCATTCCTACTAAAGTGCCGTGGCCAATGGTACAGTGCGGCATGTACGTAAGAGTGTGCACGTGTAAGTGGTATGTTCATTTATTCGTATACATTGGCTTGTGATTATTCCACACCGTATACCTGCTACAGATCGCACCACGTGCTAAACCGCTTCTCTATGCATATTCTCAGCAGTCGTTTTGTTGTGCCAGAAGTATACAGGATGGTGCAATCATTATGATCAGCTTCAATGCCTTCATTATTTTCAGAGGTGTAAAAGCAGTTTGCATAGTGTGAAATATAAAGACTAGAACCGAAAATATCTCCGTTGCTGCTAATGATATGAGAAAATTAGTAAGGAGAAAATTAGTTGCTTTCATGGAATATACAGGTTGTTTCACCCAAATATGGGTACCTACATCTAAATATTTTCGTTAGTTTTAACGTTAAAAACAAACTTTTGCAGACAAATTTACAGTATTTGGGAAGGCTACTTTTGATATTTATTGCGCTAGCTTTTGGTAATGAAATTACCAAAGGTAACTTTTGAGGACTTCAAAGTAGTCTTTGCCTTTTTTAATGAGACGCTACATGATTCGTTTAATATCGTTATACGGATTAAAAAACGCAATTTAACTATTTTAACAGTTATACCGTTTCGATTATACAATTCCGAGGAATTTACGATAACTTAGCATTACCATAGTATCACTAACTCGTGGATTTGTACTGAAACGTGTGTGTATTTTATAACAAGCGCTACTGAGAGCAAGAAAGTTTCGCAATTATGTTGTAGGAAACCTTAATAGAACTAAAAGACATTTAAATTTGTTCACACATTTCAAATAATAGCATGTGTTTTATTCCTTAATAACAAAGAAGTCATGGAAAAATTAACTGAAAAGCTCCAGGATATAACAATAGGTAGTTACAAAGTTGCCATTAGATCACTAATAACAAAACACTGGTGTGTAATCATCGGACACACATCCTACACAATACCACATTCCTACATTGAAGAAATGCTGGATAATCTTCAAATCAGTCGCGGTTAGAATCTAATACCTTTCAGAGTTGACACAAAAAGCAAGCTATGTGCCTACTTAATTATAAGAAACAAGTTCTATATATATATATATATATATATATATATATATATATATATATATATATATAATTTCGACATATTTCTCTCTATATGTATATGCCGAAATTGTTTATATATATTAAATACCACTTAAAATCGTACATCTTTGCACTCGAATGATTTTTATTTATAAGAAGATGCGTTGATGTATTTTTATTCAATAGAGAATGATTGTGAACTGAAAATTTTATTTCTAAAAAGTAAATTAAACACGTTTAAAAATAACAATGTAATACTATTGTACAGTGAAAGTTGTTAATTATGTATTACGGCAGATAATAAAAAGGAAATTAATTAGTATTTTAAGAATTTTTCAAATAACCACGACTGGTTACAGTAATATTTCAGAATAAAGAAATCAGTTTAACTAAACTTTCATAAAATGTTCTGTTTGTAATGTTTTTAATGCTCTAGTGTTCGTAACTTTGTCTAACTTGTACTCTTAAGCAATGTACCTTCTTCCAGTTTCTTTGATATGCGAACGATTACATTGTGCTAGTGTTTCTATTATTTTTAAATTAGTTATGCAATAGTTCCATTGTTGTATGGAAAGCAAGTTTGGGGTCACTGTCAGCATAGAATTTGAAATTAATTAAAAACAATTCCGTTTATCCATTTCCTCATCGAGGAAACCATAAAATTTTTATTGTCATTAACTAAAACACGTATACACATTATTTAGAATTTTTCAAATCTAATAGATCGGATATTTTTAATGTTCATTTCATCCTTTAATTTTCTGCATACTATAATATTACTATCAAATGTAAATATATCACTTATTAAATGCAGATAATAAAATCAACATAAATATTCAAAGTAACAATAAATAAATAATAAAATATCAAACATAATATTATAGGATATTGATGGATTTAATATATATTTATATTATAACGTATATAATAATTTACAACAGTTAGTCAAAGAATAATTCACAAAGAAAACTAAATTTGAGGACAATTCATATAGAGAGTGAATAAACGTTAATACCTTCCATAAAAAGAAGTAGATACAATAACGTAGCAGTTAGCAGAGGTGTAGCAATGTATTAAGAACTTTATTTAAATGCGGTATTAGAGCTTGTATCAGTGTCAATGTTAATGAGAAACAGGATCACATGCTATAATGTATGATATATACTACACTAATTGTACATATGTTAATTCGGTAAATGCATACATTTACTTACCAATGTATGAACACACTGATTCAAGAATTAAATGTATTCATAAGCAATAAAATTGAAAAGTTTACTAGTAAGAATATGCGTTATCACACATAATTTTATCAGAGTATTCACAAACAAAGATGCATCATTTCGAAGAAACACTTTTGCTAGCAAACACATATCAACCATACATATACACATATATATAGGTCAAGGTAAAACGAACCAGCTTTAATATAATTAAAGGTGCCATTACGCTTTACTTTCTTGTATTAAGGAGGAATACCACTTAGAGACGTCAGGTCAATTAAATTTAAGTAAACTTTAAGAATTTTGTTGTTAATAACTATTAAATGAAAACTTTTGATTTTTCTCTGAGTGTATAACTGTTGTAACATAATAATTTTCCAGAAAAATAATTTACTATTAAAAATCTTCTTTCTATGTACAGTACTTCATAATAATTTTTATTTGTGATGCAGCAACATTCGTGATAGTATTGCAGATAGATGGTAAATCGTTAGAGTAAACATTGAAACTTTGTTAGCCATACAAATCATTAACTCAATGTGCCAAGCGTGTATCCGATGCACCGAAGGTCACTATACCATATAGGAACTGAACATTGGCAATGAATATTAAGTACATCGAGGACTGTCATTATTACTATGTCACGCATTCGATTTGATACTTATTTATAGTAGTGCTGATTCATTCAATAATTACATGAGTCCATGATATTATTTATACTTCTAACACTCACAGTAAGCTATGCAATCTACTAATCTAGTTACCCATCTCAGTATCTACTACCTACTTAAACACGCTAATCGAAATGAGATGCAAATTTTTGGTATAATTCTAATCACGAATAAACTTGAGCTGTTTCTGCGTGAAATAAAAAGTCACTTAAATTTTAATAGTTTCAGAGGTAGAAGTTTCATTTTAACGAGTCACTTACTCTTTCAACGATTTATTGTTAGGTTGCTCAAACTCTCGACGTACCATTTTTTAATATGACGTTTATACTATAATATAATGTATAAATAAATATTATAAATAGGTAAACAAAAGATAATAGAAAGTTTTCAAATAAAATACGCAACGCATAGTTCAATAAAGTTTAATTTACCATAGTGAAATTTTTCTTTAAGCTTTATTCAAAAATTCAATAAGATTTTTTTACCAATCCAATATATGTGTACATACATTGACAAAGAGTATTCGACCAAGTAAACCAAACATCTGTTATAATAATAATACATTTTTTATTAAACTAGAAAGTATTTTCAGTCATAGCAAATGCATATAACATTACATAATTAAAAAACTGAATATCGCTTCAAGGAAACTTTCTATCAGTTTCACAGGAGGAAATTTTTCGGAGAAAGTATTTCGGTAATCATCATTACCATCTTCTTTATTCGTAGTATTAAAGGTATTCCATCACGTTATTTAATAGTTTTTTTATAATATTTTTGTATTGGTGAACATACAATACTATTTTCTATTATTAATATATGCGTATAATTAATTCTTCTCCTGTCACGTATCATTAGATATAAAATAATATATAATGATATTTTATTAATGACTTGTAGGAATATTCCACTGCCATTAAACATCGAAAATTGTATGAAATAGCGTTAATAAATGCGTTCTTTTTAATGGAAATCATATCGAAAGATAAAAATAGATTAAGATCAAGTGAGAAAATAAACAACATACTTTCATTACATTGTTTATTAATCTTAATGTCAGTGGCGTTATTATTTACTTCCTGACGCACTTGTCGACCGTAAAGAAGATAATTCTTCTATTATATGAATATTAGATTACAAGGGTAATTCTCACAGCATTTGTAGTTTTCGGTCGCTCTTGTTCATGTCATCTGCCTCCATGCGGTGTAAAAATGTAGCAGAGCCTAAATTAAATCTAACCGGAGAACATTTATACCTTCGTATTTTGTTCTACATTCATGAACAATCAACAGACCCTTTCTCAATGTTTCTCGGTTTATAACTTTTTCTCTAAAACTTCACCCAAAGAATAATTGTTACGTCGTTCGAAAATTTATAAGAGTTAAAAAAATGTATAATTCACTTAGAGATGAAGCAATGATTCGAAATAATTAACACACCTAAAAAGAAGAATTTCAACGTTCAAACTTGTTGGAGGTGATGGATCGAAATTTTGTTACAATTGACAGTTTCTATTGTTGAGGCGTACATTTCTATATCGGCGGTAATAACGAATAGCAATTGGTCTTATGTTTACGTGTTGATACAAGACGTAACAACTCGCTCCATCTTGTCCCGAAAATAATCGTTTTTATTCTTTTTCACAACATTTAAGCATTTCTTTTTTATTGATTTTTTAGGTTTCAGTATTATGCTTAAACGCAGGAAGCGCAGATAACAGCGGCTGGAGTTTTGCTCCCACACAATACCACATTCAGACAGATGAAGGTCCCGAAAGACACTTTCGTTTCCAAACATTAAATGGACAATACAGAAAGGAAAAGAGATTAGTTGATGGTACTGTCATTGGCACAGAGGGCTGGCTAGATCCCCTTGGATACTTACGCCTTAAAGATTACGTAGCTGATAGTAATGGATTTCGTATATTGAGGTAAGTGAACAAACTAATGTATTCCATTTATGTATAGATTAGTAGTCAAGCGTTGAAAACAATTATGCTATTGATTTTGATTCTTAAAACAATTATGGAAAACAGAAATAGAATCATAACTGTTATTAGGTAGGGGAAAGTAAGGAAAAACAGGACGTTGTTTTTTTAATCATAATGTCAAAGTATTTGGAGTAATAAACGCATGAAACCTTCTCTTGTTTAAAGTTTTAAGCAGACTTTTGGTTGGAAGGGAATAAAAGATTTTTTTATTAAAAATATATAGTTAGAAACATCTGCATCGCAAAAATAGTAGGGAAAAACGGAACACTCGTGTAAAGTCATATAAAAACACAAAATCCTTATTTCTACTAAATCAAAATTGCTAGGTAAATATATTTCATTGTTAGCTGATATATATAAAATATGAATATATATATGATTTCATGAAGAAAAATCACAAACAACTGTGCCATCTCCTTTTTCTGCACTGTTGCAATCTAATTGGTCAGTTTTTATCTCATCTTCGATTCTAACTTGCTATACACTAATATGATGAAACGTAACCAATTAAAATTATAAATAAAGCACATAACAAACGACTCCCGTTGCCTCTGTGCTGAAGTGTTCCATTTTGCCCCGTGAAATTAATTCCTCGAGACATTAGGAATAACGAAATATTAGAACTTTACTATGTAAACAATGTGAATTTACATAAATATTGGGATACATATTGACTTATTTTTATTCTAAACTCACGTTATAGCGAAAAAGATCAAATCCGAGGCTCTATTACCTTACTCCCTTATGCATATGATATAAATGTTATCCTAAATAAAAGTTTGTACTAATATCTTTTATTGCAATTAGGTCTAAAATGGTATACGTGGGTAAAGACAGACCTATTTACGATGCAGTAGCGGAAACGAAACGTGCTCCTCCTCAAACTGGAATTCTTGTGAACCCAACGCGACCACCAAATCCTTTCAGGTATTATATTGAATTGCTTTATATTAATATATGAACCATTTATTATAAACTATCTATCCCTGTGCCATAATATTGAAAAACTTACGCTTCGTTTCGGTTCAGTAACAATAATAAAGCCTATTGAACTTATCCCATTTCGTATAAATTAAAATACTTGTAAGTAAACACTGTATTGCATAAACGACTTTCATGAAAATTAACTGTACTAATACCCCTGTTCTGAGTCATAAATGAATTTATAGTATTTTCGTAATAATTTTTTTGTCATTTTGTTCTAAAAATATACGATGTATCGCTTTTATAAGAAATAATTCATATCTTAAAAGTAATCAAAAGCGGATGTTCAAGTGTTGTTTCACAATTAAACAACGAGAAAGAATAGATACTATTTTATTCGAATTTAAAGAATTAGAAGAAATACTATTTCTTAAAGATCCACTCTCTTAAAACGTGTGAGTTCTGATCAGTGGCAAGTGTTTCCACAATATTCGATTTAGTATTAATTATTTCCTGCATTGTTATTTTGAATAAGTAAATCGACGTACAATGTTAAAAGTATGGAAATTCAGAACGGTCTTGCGGTATTTCCATAAAAACACTAAAAGACTAAACATACTGTATATTTTAAACCGACTACCCGACCGTCAAGAATGTTTGCACGGTTGCGGTCATGTGGCGGCGGACATGTTGCTTACGAATTATTCTTTTCTTACAAAGGTTTAACCAGATAACTGCGTTTGACGAATATACTTAATAATAAAAGTCAAGATGATACTAGTTTTTTCGACGATATATTATTTATTTCTTCAGATAAACATGTAATACTTCTTCGTTTTGCTTCAATTTTTCGTTAGAATATATTATGGGTGTATTTCAGCTGCGTTTGACCAGTATACACTTTATTGTTTGATTTCATTGGGTGCACAATAGAAGATTTTTGAAACTAAATTCCACAGTTAACAGATTAAAGCTTCTATTACAGACCATCTATTTAAATATTCAACAATAATGATCTTGCGAAGTAATATTTCATTATTATATGCCACATGTATAAACTCTCGCTTAGGCGAACATATAATAAAACGTTAGAATATTGGCTGTTCCAAACATAAATTTAACTTTATTTTTAAGTTTCGTTAGTACTCTTTAATACAACGAAGTATGTTTTACATAAACTTTATTAAAGAGTCTCATTTTTATAATTGGATGATAATTGTTTAACAAATGGCGTCAAAAGAAGTAAAAATTTTAAACAGGTAAATTTCATTTTTAAACAGGTCAGAGAGGAGCAGACAGATCGATATAAACAAAAGAATGTTATCGATCATAAAACAAAGAGTAAATGATTTGAACATTGGCGTGCGTTTTAAATATTTCTATCACTTTCTGAGAAGTTTAGTGAGCCTAGAAATATGAAAAAAGTAATTGTAATAAGTACAGGAAAAAAAAATATTGCAATGTTGTCAGGTTAATATTCTTCGAAAATAGAAAAATACATGCATACATATGCTAGATCTCTAAAAAGCTAGGAATATCCTTATCTCCGAGAAAAATCGACATGCTAGAATTACATTTGAGAAAATCTAATTTCAGTATGCGATAGAGCAGATGTCTGCCTTGCGAAATCCGTTGAAAAATGTCCCGTAACATATTTCGTTTTCAGTTGAGAGTGAAAACATATGTAGTTGCGCGAAACATAAGATACCGACAGCGATGTTCAATGTCAACGCGTATAAACTGGCTAGCTGTGGCAGCACTGCGCATCAGGAGAGACAAGTATTCCATACAAAATAAACAACAAAAACACTAATTCTGTAAAATATAAAATATTTTATGTCTATCATCTTTAACCTTTTGCACCCCAATTTCTGTTGCACCTTCTTCTCGATAACTCTGTATTATTACGATATTTTATTTGAAATGCATTTTAAAAGATAGTTTGTAGAGAACAGTGTAAACAATTCTTCTTACTAATAATATTGAAAATAACGTAACAATATAATTTATTTTAAAAATATCTTGACATAGAAGCACACCTGTGAATAAAACTGATGTCGAGTCACGCTCGACAGAGGAGCGCAAAGGGTTAAGCACCTTCTACTAACGATGACATATTACTTGTATCTTTTCAAATGAAATATAATACTTCATATCAATAATAAAGCGACACGAGATATCTCGTTTGTAGCATTGTACGAAGACATCGTGGTACCGAAGTATCTCGTCTATTCCACCGAAAGGGTTAACGATGTTTTTTTCAGAAACAGCGGAAATAGTCATGTGGTAATTCATACTGAAAAACCTTGTATACAGAAATTAATATACAGTAAACACATGTTAACAAATCGACAATTATTTCTGTTTCAGGCATTGGAAACCGAATAGCGTTGCTCCGATACTTGAGAACGATATAAACTCCGATTTTTACGACAGTACAACGATCCGACCCCGTGTATTTTCGACGAATTCAAATAATCTTTATGACAGCACGAATCAAGCAAGCTTTTCATCTGGATTACGAAACCTTAGAAACTATTCTCAGCTTTCGAACAATCACTACAATCCTCTGCAACGCTCCGATAGCGAAGACAATGCCGGCTACAACAATTTGAGGAAAAACTTTCAGTTGGCAACGTCCGGTTCCCGGAGCAATGTTGCACGATTTCCTCCGTACGATGGAACACACAGCACTGCCAACGGATTTCAGTATTATTTGAAGCGACAATACCACGAAGAAGAACAAGAGCCTACCGGAACTAACGTTGGCTCTTTCGGTTACGTCGATCCGTTTGGCATCAGAAGAGTAATTTATTATAAAACGGATCCACACACCGGTGGCTTTCTCCATCAGAAGAACAACAAATACGTCGGCCTGAACGGAACACCTTATGACCCATCACCGGTCCTTTCAATAAGAGGAAACGAGAAATATACGAACTAGTGTAACCTCGATGATTGAATCATCGGAATTACGATGAATGTTACGAAGAAATTGGAAGATTTCTTCAGTTGTTAACATTAGGTGCCATATTAAGCTATTCTATTATTTATAATGTTCCGCTAGTAGTCAAACGTTTGAAAACATAAGGAAAATACAAAAGAATCATTAGTATCGCGAAATTTGTATGAGGAACTTATAATTTAGTTTTGTAAAATACGTTAAGGCGTAATGATAGATGACTAACAGAATCATGACAGCCTAATGTATCATTTAGATTGTTCGTATTTACGCGATATATTTACATTTCCAATTAAAACAGCAATAACATTTCGATATTAATGTACTTGGACGACGACGTTCGTTTTTACTTTTCACTATGATGAAGGAATTCTTGGAGCTTGTTTCATATATGTACATGTACATTTTTTTAAATACTAGCCTTACAAAATATTTATAACTACACAACGAACATAGAAAATAAATTCAAATAAAAACTCATATGTTTAAGTGAAGTTTCTATTAAATGTAAATATTAATTCGGCGCCTTTCCGAGAGAAATTGGTTTGGATATCTAACCTGTTAACTGTGGGATTTAGTTCCAAAAATCTTTCATTGTGCACGCAATAAAATTAAACGATGAAG